TGTGTTTTTGCCTCCCGGGCGAAAGAAAACCCCCCGCGGCTGGCGGCGGCCGGTGCTCCCCTCTGCTGCCGGGCTCCCCTCGGGCACCGTGTCCCCAGCCGCCATCCTAACGTGCCAGGTGGCACTGGTGCTTGCAGCCTTACCTCTTGTTTCTCTGATAACTTGGCTCATGGTGGCTCTGTAGGAGACTGTATCTATTTTTTTTTTTTTTTTTGCCGGACTCCCTAACTAGCTGCCAGGTGCTCCCTGCGCCCCACCGGGGCCTGTTCACGTCTGCAGCCACCTCATCTGTGCAGCGAGGGGGTACACGCCAGGCTGCTGGAGCCTGCTGCTTGGCAGTTTCTAAGCACCAATGTGAAGTTGCAAAATTTAAAACATGGGCATGTTTTGTGAGAGGGCAGAAGTAACTTGGTTGCTAGTAGTTGCTTTTTATACTGGCGCAAGCCTGCAATGTTTCTGAGCACCCTTTTGAAGGCATACAGACATCGAATACTGCAGACAGATGTTATACGTGTCTGTCTCCGTAAAATACATGACGCATATACAAGAGAGAGCCTTTCCTCATTTTTTTGTGCTTACCATATCACCTTGTCTCTCAAGGACAGCACGTTGCTAAAATGCAGGCAGAGATTTATTGGAGGGACTAGAAGGACTTTATACTCCTCCTGCTCCTCTCCCCCTCAGCTCACGTCTCCCACTCCTCTGCCAGTCTGGCATCTCTTGTGCTCCACTGTGAGCTGGAGGAAAGCAAGCAATGGAGCCAGGTTCCCCTTCTTGCCCCCCTTGTGTCCCATGGCTTGACATGGGGAACATAGCCCTTGTGGCACGGCCTGCTGTGGGGGAGAGGAGATGCAGCTACCTTCATTACTTGCCCCAGAGCGGAGGCACGTCATCTCAGTCACTATAGCCATTGGGTTGTTTTTCCTGTCTTCCTTTCCCCTTTTTGGAATGTCCTGATAAACACCCTACAGTGAAAGCCGCAGAATAACAGTTTTCTTACTTATAATGCTTTGAGATACAGTGGATTCCATGAATAGACATGGTAATAGCCTCCTTCTCATTCTGAGGACTCATAGGGACTCATGTAAAAAATAATAATAATTAAAACAGAGTCTTCAGAGTGCCTCATTGAGTGCTGTCATGCCTGCAGTATGCACTGAAGTGTCCTGTTAGAGGTTAGCTTCAGTTCAGAAGCACTGCGACTTCAGCTGGAAGCCAGGAGTTGATTATTGGACCCTGCTTCTGGGCGCAGCATTGGACCAAAATGACTCTGCTACCATGAAATTTGAAGGAAGCGTGGCTCTGCTTGGTCTGGGTTATTACCATTGCGCTTCTTTGTGTAACACAGCTGTGCGCCAACTGCTCAGACTCCTGTTTCTGTCTCATTTAGAATTCCAGTTTCATGTGCCACTTCGGAGAAGGGGATTTGGGCTCTTGAGTCACCCAGGAATCTTTAAAAGTTTTGTGCTTAGCTTGCTTTTAGCTATCTGAATGGACTAATAATTACCACAAACCATTCCGTAAATAAAGTGGTGAGAGTGAGATACTGAGTGTGTATACTGAGTTGTTATACAACTGGAAATTAAAATTCTCACCATGCTGCAAAATTCATAGTTAATAACCAATAATATAACCCGTATTAGACCTAATTTACTCTAGTCTTATGATGCTTGTAATAGATGGACATTCCTTTTCAGAGTTAATTTTCAGGGTGCTTATAAACATCATGGTGAGTTTTATTCCATTTACTCTCTTGCTTTGTGGTGGATAAGACTTTGGTAAAATTATCTGTACTCAGTATGTGCCTATAGTATCATCAAATCATGTAAATTCAGGGGCACTATTTTTAATCAGACAATATAATTGGTACTAATCTTGAAATAAATGGTGCTCCTGAGAAGCGGGAGCTCCTGTCTTCTCGGGAGCACCATCTGTGTGGTTCATATGCAATCAGCAATATTTATATTAAATGCTATATATTCTGCCTCACTTACTGTTTGATTTCTTCTCTCTGAGTCTGATCCTATGAACCAAAACAGGAATCACAAGACCTAAGTTCTGACAAGTAGTTTCTTCCCTCAGTCTGCTGATGTATACCTTGTTAATGCAGCTTTGTTCAGCACTTTTTTCAACCAACAGTGCTCATGCTACACCCAATCTGCCCAGTGCAAGGTCTTCAGCTCAGTTTTCACTGTAACCTATATGCAGCTTTTTATATATCCCCCTCATATCTTCTAACACTTTGCTGTTTTCTCCATTTCATCACAGTTATATGGATCTCACATTGTCCTCTCCCAAAATATCACCTTAGATTGTCTCCAGAAACACCGTTCTGCTCGTCATTTACTAAAAGGCCACTTGCTAATTTTTTTTTTCTTTGCATCCTTGTAAAAGGCAAAATTTTACTGTACAGTACTCTCTTGGCTTAAAAAAGAAATTGAGCATACATTTTTCAGATTGCCATTTTGCTAACAAATATGCTTTTCTTGTTCTTTCTTTTTTCTTATCTGGTAAGGGGTTTGTAAGCAAGCTGGATGAATTCATTCACTGGTTAAATGAAGCCATGGAAACAACAGAGAATTGGACTCCTCCTAAAGCAGAGACAGACAGCCTTAAACTGTACCTGGAGACACACTTGGTAGGACAAGATTATACTATGATTACTATCAGTAATTGAAGTGTTCTGCTGTGCTTTTTATTTGATTATTATTTTTTAATTACTAGTGTGCATCTATATTTTAATGTAAGATTTGCAGCATTGCAGTTTATTTTAATGAAAATACCAACAGATTATTTTCTGTATTTGAAATATGTACTGATGGCATTTTAAAAATTAAATTAAAAGCTAGAATTACATTGCAATTCAGAAATTATCTCCAAAACTGAAAGAAAATGGCTATAGCAGAAGGAGAAAGGATAATGGTTTTTCTGCTGATCATTCTAGGATTTTTACTACACTGTAACATTAACAAAACTCTTACTAGTAAGGAACTCTTATTCTCTCTCCTGCAGTTTTAACATAGTACAGAATCATTTAAATAAAATATCTGAAATAATTATTTCAATCATTTTGCTTGATGTGCATTTCTGTTGTGTAATTAATACAACTGTCACTATCCTTGTTCTTGTGCAAAAAGCTAAAACATTGCATGGAAGTGGAAAACACTTGGACAAATAATCTTCTGAAAATATTACAGGCTAGAATTATAGATTGAGAAGTATTTGATAAACCTCATGAGATTTTCACAGAATTCTTCCAAGAGCTGTTTCTGGTTATGAGGAGGTGAAACAAAGACCTGAACTGAACCAGGTATTGAGTTGTCAAAAGCAAAATTTTATGCTGTAGGTAGAGAATAGAGATCAATGTATGCTGTTCAATGGGTAGGTATCTTAATAGGTAAACTACTCTATCTGGTAAAAAGGAAAAAAAAAAAAAGAATGGAAAATTAAGCTAAGAAAGTCTCTCTCCCTCTGCCAAAATCTTAGGTTCTTGCCAGTATGAATTGGAAGAAAATATGGTGATAGCACTGTTCTGAGCCAATGAGCTAGACACTCCAGCTAGATAAAACAGTGCATTAGCTGAACCCACATCAGATCATCAACCCCCAAATCTCAGTCTCATTTCCAGTCTCTGATAATCTGATGGTGAAAAATTATTTGACATCCCAGGAAGTCACATGATGCATTACAGGAAAAAATGTCATCCTAATCCCTACCGTAATACTGGAGTGACCGTTATTAAATTAATTAAGTATATATTAGCCACATATACAATTAGAACTGAACCAAAAACTGTTTTCATAATTTCAGCTATACAGAAAACTCTTTTGTGTCTTTTGTTCTTAAACATTTCTGTTGTAGTACTGCCTATGGGCAGCCACTAGATTAAGTGCCCATTGTGGTAGTCTATCAAATGCAGTACGAAGACACTGCATTTTTGCCTTTCGTTGCAGATTTTGTATTTTGTGGCAGTTTGGAGTTTTGCCTTGTACTGCACGCACTCAGTCCTGTGATTCCCATTATGTTTACAGGTGCTCTGAAGACACAGAGCACATTGTGAGATCAGACCTCAGAAAAGGCATTGGTCATTTCAATTTGTTTTCCTCTTACTCTGCAACATGAAATTTTTGGAGAGATGAGTTTTTATGAGTAGACTTGCAATTTTCACTCTCAACTGGATAAAAAGAAACATATTCCAGGAACAGAGCAATCACCAGGCTGAGTCTCTGTCACAGTCAAGTTTCTTTTTCCCCTTCTTCCATGGGGAGGAGCACAGTAGCTCTTTTGCAGGCAAATGACTTCCAGCTTTGCCTTGTGGTTCTGTGGGAGGTGAGGCCAAAACCATCTATCAGACTGGAATGTGGAGTAGTAGCCCAGAGGCAGCTCCTTCATTGCTAGAGGTAGTCAGAATAAATGAGTATGTGGGCACCTGTACAACTTCACTTTCCCCTGTAAGTACTTCGGTTCCCAGCTGTACTCTGTGTATCTGCATATCTTTGGGGCAAGAAAATCTTTGTATGTTTCAGGATGACTATGTTATGAAACAATGTGGGTTTTTTTCTTTACTTCTGTAGAGAAGTAAAATGTCTAAAGAACAGTTCAGTTTCAATTCAATGATGATATAATTATTTTTATGGCATATATTGCCAGTGAAAAAATCATTGCACAACCTGAAAAAAATAACCGTGACTTTTCTTTTTGGATTTCAGAAAACGTATGCTATCATATTCGTTTCTACACAGCAGAACTGAACTATTAAAATACAGAGCATTGTTATAGTGGGGAAGATAGTTATTTTGTATTAATTAGATTGTCAGCTTTTCAGTGGCATTTGTCTGTCAGAAATCCTAATCTGTGTTTAAACAGAAATATATGAACTTCAGTTCACGTTAAGCTCAATGTTAAAATTTCCCTTGATTGAGCATTGTAAGACAATGGTGATCAAGGTCTTTGTTAGGGTACTTATGCTGCTCATTTTCTTCTTTTGCCAGTCAGGTTATACGTGCTGTCAGACTCACCTAAGATTTATTGAAGTAAAGGGGGCTTAGTACTTTATAAGTTTAGGATCCAGACTTCTGGGTTCATAGTACAGACACCGGTAGCAAACTAACCTGGAAAACAAAGAAAATGTGTTGGTTCTTTTCTATTTACTGCATCTGTGCTAGCAAACCTCATAACTATGATTCCTCACTGGTGCAGATTTTCTGGTTGTAGAAGGAGTGAAAACCCGGTGTAGATTAGTATTTTTATTTTTATTAGTAGAGACAAGGCCTTAGCCTTTGGCGCAAATTATCAATTTCACCACCTGTGGTATTGTTTTCTTGGAAATATGTTTGTTGCAATAACAAAATTAGTGCCATAAAGAGAGAATATTTTGCATTCATGAATTAAATCTCTGCTGTCAAAAATCTAAGAAAAGAAAATATGGGAGCAGGAAAACAGAAAAATGTACTTGTTCCCTTTATCATTATTGGCTGGGAAAAGTCTTGCAGAGGAGACAAGGACAAGGTTATGAACATCCTCCAAATTTTTCAGTATGTAAAATTCTTGACTGTCATTTTAGGGTCCCAATGTAAATTGTTGACAAAAGATTGAATTTTAAAGTCTCTCCTCACTCAGCCTTGCTTTTCTACATCTTTGACATTTTGAGAAATGGTGTGGCACAGACACTTAAAGAGAGTGTGTTTATCATAGAATCATAGAATCGTCAAGGTTGGAAAAGACCCTTAAGATCACCGAGTCCAACCGTCAACCTATCACTGCCAAGTCCATCTGTACCATGTCTTCAAGCACCGTATCTATCCGTTCCTTAAATCCCTCCAGGGATGGAGACTCAACCACTTCCCTGGGCAGCCTGTTCCAATGCTTGACCACCCTCTCGGTGAAGAAGCTTTTCCTAATGTCTAACCTAAACCTCCTCCTTATTTTTATTAAAAAAAAAAAAAACACCACGAGAAACCTAGAATATCAACTTATTAGAATCTTTGCATAAGGTAATGCTCACATGAGGAATCAAATCTCTTGAACAGGATGGCAATGCAAGTCTCCATTACAAGCGTCCTTGCATGATATCTTCAGCTTAAATTGGTAGAACTCCCCAAACTATTGTTCTAGTTAATTCTTACACCTGGTCTGGCAAGATTGTCCACCCAGGATGTTAATCAGCACTTTGAAGCATATGAGTAGTGTCTGTCTATTGCTCTTGGCCCAGCAAGAGCTGCCTGTAGACATCTCTGTGACTGTCTGAAGGTCCCACCTGGTCAGCTCCTGAAATAATTAGTGAAGCACTTTGTTGTGAAGGTGGAAGGCAGCCTCTCCTCAGGTTGGTCTGTTCCCAATTAGCCCATTATCTCATCTGTGCAGAGACTAGCTGGGACGTTCCTGGGCCACCCAGGGAATTCACAGCTACATGCACACACAGGCACAGCCCTGATACCCAAATACACCACAATTATAATTATTAACATAGGACAAATTGGAATTTCATTCTTAAATCACATTTACAACTTAAACTCCATAGATTTTGCCATGATGAGTAACCATATGGTTTGGTAAAGAGTATGAATTTTTTCTACAAATTGAAAGGTAGCCTGCATCTGGAATGCATGCCAAAATAGACAATCTTCAGCTTGGAGGACAGTTTTTTTGCAAATTTTAAAACTCGGTTCCCTGATTTTCTGCAGAACAGAAGTTGCTATATGCTTCATTTTAGATAACACCAAAGCACAAAGCTATCAATGGAAATGCTCTCAGAGACCCCTGGAATAGTGACTGAAATTATTCTTTCAATTTTACAAGTCCTCACAACTGAGTAACATCAGTGAAACTGATTTGGGAGCTGTTTGCTTCCCATTCATATCGGAGGGCTGACATGGAGCTGCCACTCCTTGAACTTCTGGCACCCCTGCAGGCATCCACCCAAGCTGGCAAATGTTGAAAACATTTTCATAAAACAGGGGTGTTTTTCAGCAGAAATCTACTTTGCCACAAAGGCATCAGTCAGCCCTACTAGAGAAAAAAGTGAGGCAGGTTTTGAATTTTGTGAACGATTAGGCTTAAATCACTTCCTAATGAAAAGATAGCTTCATTGGCCTTACCAAAAAGGAACTTCTGAGAATGGTTTCTGATTTGCTTTATCTTTTGTAGCTCTTCTTTTCTGTTATGCTGATTCTTGCCCATCAGCTTGATCAAAATCAGCTACTAGCAGACTCTAAGCATAGACTTGGTGGTAGGCACATGGTTCTCATCAAAAATGGTATCCTGAAGGCAGCTTATGAGCTAAAAGCATCTGTCTAGATGGTACTGCTGTGCTTGTGAAACCAAACAGACTTTCTTACCAGCTCAACAAATAAGAATGCACCATGTTGCTCTTGACCATTTTAGTCTGCTAAACATTTTACCGCTCCTTATCCCTGACCCAAAAAGATACATTGTTTTAGCACAGTAAAGAAGTAAGCTAGCAAATGAGGAAATGTGAAGAACCACGGAAGAAAAGGTTTAGATGAAAGGCACTATATATATTTGCTGAGGCCTGGGACTTTTAATTTTATAGTCTTAACTTTTCCCTTTGCTGTTAACACAGTACTCTGTTTTCTTGTTGCTGCATACCTCCTAGTTGTGCACCTTACTATTGTGTGC